GAGTCCTACAACTCTAGTTCCTAGAACTAAGGCTACGGGAAAAGGTGGTTGCTTACTTGGCGTGGGGAAGGGAGGAGGAGGAGGAGGCAGTGATAGCTGTAGCGCAGATCATCACCGTCCTAGCAAGTCGCACTCCCATGAGTCTCATCCTACCCTTTTTCTGACTGTACAATGCTTTCACTTTTCTTTTCAGGCAGGTGCAGATATGTGACGAACCATTTTCTGTAATCGCGCGACTTTCTGCGCGAAGCTACCTTGGGGAAATGAGACGGGTCGGATGGGTCACGGGTGAGCTGCGGGAAAGATGGGTTGGTCGGGCTGATTGCGTGGATGCCCTCGTTTCTTTTTGTTTCATGAGGAAATCTGTCGAGTCGGTGTTGGGAAGGTCCCACGCCAACGGTTGGGTAACCATGCCTTAACAAGCGCGACAGACAACGGTGGCCTTGGCTTCTTTCTTGTTCTACTGTGAGCACTAGGAATTTTTGGCGCGATCATCGCGTGGGAATATCGTTTTTGAATTTTCAACTGACGTCGAGTCCCCACGGGCTCCCAAAATTGTTTTTGGGCTCTTCAGAATTTCCTTTTTGCAATTAGGACTTGGGCTAGAAATTTAGGTACTCTAAATTTTGTTGCGCCGCGCTACTCATTCGCGCACATCTTGCGGCACTAGGAGCTAGGCTCTGACTGGATCGCACCCTTAATCTTGTGTAACTGTCGTTTTTGGCGGGCGCGATTGTAACTGTATCTTTCTTCTTTCTTGGTTCTCTCGTGTTTGCCCACCTTCTCTTTTTTTCTCGCCTTGCATACTCTGTTCTAATTGGCCTGAACGCCTGCTTGACCAGATCGATGCGCGGAGTGTGGCTACGACCCCCACGCCGTGGTGTGGCCATGCAAACATGCATGCTTAAATTTTGCAAGTGCGATTAGTTTGCTCTCTATGGATCTTGGAGTTAGCACGATCAGTGAGGGTCGGCTAACGAGTCAGGAGTTAGCATGATCAGTGAGGGTTGACTAACGAGTCAGCCTGAGAGGTGAGTCGACGAGGGAGTTGGGCGATCCGACGAGCCGGTGTCGGATATGCGGGGTTGACGTGCGGGCCGCGACGGACTGTGGCGCATGGACGAACCTGGCTTGCATACTCGAACCAGGCAGGGTGACTACTTTGTGTTGATACTCGGCGACGGACTGCCCGTATCGGGAATGTAGAGGAGTGAGAGAGAGAGAGAGAGCAGCTGTGTGTGCAGGATGAGGTCTCTTCTTTCGCTTATCTGTATAATTTTGGTTCCTACTATGGTCGATTTTGTTGCGTCCCTTTTGGACTTTTCTTTGTAAATCGTCTCAGATTTTCTTTGTCGTTTTTGCCTCGTGTATATGTATGGAATGGATGCGAGCTCTTTTCCGTTAGTGATCTTTTCGGATTTCCATCTCGTTTTGCGATGCCTGTTTAATTCAAATTTCGCCACCTTCTACTATCCACTTGCATGAGCACTACTCTCAGATCTGATTGGAAGCACTCGCTATAGATGTTTGGGTTTAATCGTTAGTCTTCGATCGTAATCGGATCACCAAGAATTTTGTGAAGAGTTGATTGTCCTTTCCTCTTTTCTCTCCTTTTCGTCACATGAATGACATGGGTATGAATGTAATGTCTTGATCTCACCCAATATAGCATGAGGAGGATAGTTGCATGCAGGACGAACGCAATCGGTACACTGAACCAAGGACCGATCCGCTTTCGCTCATGTGCACGCTCACGTACGACCACGATCTCGAGAAAACCGAGTCGCAACGTATGCGCGCGTCTGCATGAGTCGACCGCGAACTCAGCATAAGGATGCAGGGGATCGAGTTCACCAAGCAGATATGACTGTGGAATTTCCCTCTTGGATCCCCGATCACGAGAGCATGAGGGACCCAGAATATCACGAATACTGGGAAGGTGAATAAATCCGACGACGGGGAAACTTAAGAAACCGGGAATTTCCCTGTCTGACAGAGAACGACCGATTGTGCGCAAGGGACTTTCACTGTGCCGTAACGAACGATCCTAGGGGCCCCGACTACCCGGATACTTATAACACGCAATATTATATATCCCCTGGCTTCGTCGTTATTACCACCAGTTTCCCTCCCTTTCACCTCCTTCTTCCATATGACCAGCTCACAGTAGTGCCGTGGAATTCCATAGCCCACTATTGGCCCCGCACACTGTGCGAAAAGTGTCCGCTGCAGCAGGCATATCGAGCTTCAGAGATTACCCGGCGAACCCGAACCGAAGCTGAGCGGCACCGACAGCTGTTCGCCCAGCGCGACAGCCGTAGTGTCCCACCGGTCCACCAAATAAGGGACCAGCCGCGGTAACGCAACTGGCAGAGACCATAGCCCCATCCCCGAAGACTGAAACGCCGGATACGATCTTTGCGTACCACCATGCACTGTTGTCCCTAAACTTGCCATCGAAGATCTCAGTTCCGACCTGGGACTCCACCCCCAGTTTCCTAAAATCCTTGGCACACCCCTTTTTCGTACTTCCGGGCCCCCCATCCCACTCCGAACAGGAAGTCACTCTGGGCGTGAGGCTGGGCGTCACAGTCGTATCTTCTGCTTGGAAGACGAACACTTTGCCTTCAAGTCTATCCATATCATTACATTCCTGTGACCAGCAGACGATCTGGGCCCTTGTTTCCATGCCTGCTGCTGATCATTTTCAATCTGGTGTCATCAACTTGCAATCTGAGGTCATCAACTCGCAATCTGGACCGTCGTTGATGGTGTACCTCAGGGTTCAGATTGCGTGTTGATCGTTTGGAGACAATCGTGCTGGGTGGGTAGCGATGGGCCTGTAGGCCCTGGCCCCGTAGTTCGCAGCCCGTCAGGGTTGTGTTTCCCCCCCCCAAGAACATTTCAACGTCACTGAAATTTCAATGTTGGTGGTCATTCTGGAGGGTGGGCATTTTGAGGTTTGGGGCCTAGCAAGGGGCGGGACCGCATAGGACCGCTATTGGCACGGTCGTTGGGCAGCAGGCAGGCGGCAGTGGTCGGAATGGCACCCTTGGACCTTGGAAACGGCGCGCAGGTGGAAAATGGTCGAAATGTTTGGCGCAGGTCATCGGAAATTGATGAAACGGCACTTGCGCTTTGCCGCCCTCGTGCAAACGGCACCCTTGCCACGTTCGTGCTAACAGCACCCTTGGACCTTGTAAACAGTTGGCGCAGGGGCTGTTGGCTGGTGTGTTGCTCATCCTATCCATGGAAGCCCTCAAGTTCAACAATTTAAAATCAACAAAAAAAAAAGAACTCCAACATTCAAAAACAACACTACCTCGCCCTCTCTCTCTCTCTCTCTCTCTCTCTCCCTCTCTCTTTTTTCACCGAACAAACTACGGGCTGCGCACCCGTGCCCTCACGGTAAGTCAATACTTCGCGCGCCACTCCCCAGGGCAATTTTTGGCCGGTGCACGGTAGTACCGCCTGCGGCACTCCACAGGCCAATTTTTGGCCGGTACACGGTAGGACCGCCGCCAGCACTCCCCAGGCCCGCGCGCGGCACTCCCAGGCCAAATTCTGACTGGTACTCCCCATGCCAACTTTTGGCCCTTGGCACTCCCTTGGCACTCCCTTGTAGTACTGCCCTTGGCACTCCCCATGCCAACTTTTGGCCGGTACACGCGCGCAAGGGGTCTACGACTGACTTTCTGAAATTCGCGAGGCTTTGCCAGGAAGTAACGGCGCCCCAATGCGCGACTTCGACTTCGAAAACATGCTGGGCTACGCTCGACTTTGACGCCCTTACCTTATTACCTTATGCTCGCCTTCCACTGCCGAACTACACTCTACTCCGATACGAATACGACTTCCACACTGCGAAACTAAACTCTACTGGGGTACTAAACTCTGCTCGGCTACGCTCGACGTCGACGCTACTCTACGCGGCTTCGATTTCGCTTCCCTACTCTGCTATACACGACTTTGGCTTCGCTTGACTTCGACTTCGACTTCACTACTCGACTCTGCTACGCTGGACTTCGACTTCGCTACAACAGTAACTCTTCTCTGCTACGAGGTTGGGCTGTTCATTTTCGAGGTTGGACGCTGATTGGCCTCTGCGTCGTGAAGGTTGGAAGCTCAGGCTCGGGTTGTGCATTGCATACTGGCTTTCAGACGACCGCGCTCCCATGGCCGAACGTGAGTAAACCCTCCTGTTTCTGTTTCGTACCCGTCGTTTTTTTTTTGTTTTTTTTTTTTACCCGTCGATTTTCTGCTTTGTTGATTTCTATGCTCTCTCGCCCTTGATCATCCGATCGATCAACGTGGTAAGTCCGGCACACACACACACACACACACACACACACACCTCTCGTGCCATAAGGTTGGTGTGAGTAAAGTCAACCACTTTTCTCAGGCGTATCGCTAGCTCTGGGTGACGTGGCGAGTCCTTATCCATCAGTCAAATGCATCTTGGACAGACTGCCGTGGTTCAACCTCCTGATAAGATCTTTTCCTTCATGTGCAATATGTTCATTCTTTTTTGCGGGCGGAGCCGCAACAGGTAATCTACCTTCTCCGCCCGAATACAACGTACGGTCATTATAGCTGCATTTGGGGTATCATCCCGTCTAAATACAGCTATAATGACCGTACGTTGTATTCGGACAAAGAAGGTAGCCTGCTGTTGTGGATCATCGTCACATACTGCATCGCGCTCGCATCTTACCCTACCCTCTTTGAAAGTGTACGGTGTTGATCTCGAGTTGGAAACGCGATAAACCGACAACGCACCTTTGTTCCGCTCTCGAAAAGAAGATCTGATAGATCCTGTTCTTTCTTCTTCGTCGTCGTCTTCTTCTTCTTCTTCTTCTTCTTCTTCTTCTTCTTTCTTTTTTTGACCGATCCAGTGCTGCACTGCACAAGCTGACCAGAGTAACTGTGCTGCCTCCTGAAAACAATAAAAAAAAGTCACCGTAGCGGGGTCTCGTCTCCCTCTGTCATTTGTGGGGGTAGTGGATTGATTGAGGCGTCAACAAGCTTAAGAGAACGAGCGCAGCCATGGAGGAGTGAGCTGTGGAGGTCGAAGCTGAACGATGACGGCAGCTATGGTGGACCCTGCTCATTCTTCGGCGAAGTGAAGTGAAGCTAGATAGCAAGAGTGGATATGGCGGAGTCCCCATTGCCCTGGAACAAACCGCCTTCGCAGTCTCCTACCACTTCCTCAACGTGGGCAGACACGAGCCCCGTGGGGGCACACGTGGCGTCCTCAGGGAGCTCCACGTCATCGTCGGCCGCCGGAGAGCTGGACTCTTCTTTGCCCATACGTATGGCATGCCTAACGACCTCTCCTGGACGTTCAATCCCGATCCCGATCTCGATCCCAGTCCCCTCCTCATCGGGCGTCCTCGGTACGGAAGTTTGCCATCCCTTCGACGACAGACTCGACGAACGCTGTCCGAGCAAAGTAGGCGGAGGAGGAGGGGGGGGGCCTGGGCCCCCATCCACCACTAACCTGATTTCTTCCACAGCTGCGACCAGCGGAGAAACCTTGTCAGGTGCATCTGGTCTGTCGGGTCTGTCAGGTTCGTCAGCTGTGTCTGGTCTCTCGGGGATGTCTCAACCTGCTGGCTATCTTGGGGGCTTTGGAAGCGCCCTACACATGAGAGGAGGAGGAATAGCAGAAGAACTAGGAGGAGGGGAGATGGGAGGAGGAGGGCCAGGAGGAGGAGAAATGGGAGGAGGAAGAGGAGGAGGAGGAGGAATTCGAGGAGGTGGAGGAGGGGGGATGGGAGGAGGAGGAGGAGGAGGAGGAGGGGGAGGAGGGGGAGGAACGGGAGGAAGAGGGACGGGAGGAGGAGGAGAACGTCCAAGCCTCTTGGCATTTGACTTCGACATTGACACTTTGTCACTTCTCCTTGATGAACAAACGAGAAACTTGAATAATGCGGTGATTAACTTTTTTCTCGACATGAAGAACAAAATACGACATAGAGAGGATGAACTGGTTGCTACTGAAAAGGACAGAGGAGACAAGCTGTGCTGCCAGAAGCAGGCGGAGATTGAGCAGATGAGGCAAGAGATAGGCCAAGTGGTGGCACATGCAGCTCACCTGCAGGAATTCCAGGAACGAGCCGCGGACCTGGTTGCTGCCCGCGGTCTACAGATGTACCATCTCAGGATCAAATTGCGCACCATGTGGAGGTGGTTCTCCACCGTCGCCAGAATCAAAAGGATGAAGGAAAAAGAACGACAAGCCGATATCTTCTATTTGAAGAGAGTACTGCTTGGCAAGATGCTACGTGCATGGCACAGAGAGATCCGGATGAGCGGTCGGGATCGACTGCAGAACCTCTTCTTTGACAGACTGGCGAAAGCAAAGGACGAAATTATGGCTAAGTATGAGGAGCAGCTCGCGCACGTGCGCGACGACTTGTTAGACGCGAGGAGGGAGGTGCAGAAGGAGCAGGACAGGAGCAGGAAGTTGGAGGAGAATACCAAACAGGCCTTCATGAGAGGAGTGTGCGCCTTGAATATCGAAGCCATGGCGTTGATGAAGCATGGAACCCCTGTCGGGATCTTGAATCCAGTCAACGCGTCAATCTCCATGTGCGAGCCAGTTTCCGACGATTACGTGCCTGGTCCAGATCGCGACATGGCCACCGACTATGGTGGAGGCAACCCCCCGCAAGGGACAGCGGTATCGGGACCAGGGATCGCGAGCAGGACCATGAATAATGTCGCAGCAGCAGTCCAATCCGCCTGATTGGTTGATTGGTCGGTGAAGTCCGTCCGTTTTTCGTTCGAGAGATCCGGCTTTATTGGTTATCTAACATTGCTTGCTTGCCCTGTGGGGGATGGATGTACTATACTATAAATGGGTGTGGCCATGTATGTTTTTCTTTTTTTTTGTTGTTTTTCCATGTATGTTTTTCTTTGACTCTATGCTGAAGGATTCGTACAATTACAAGTTTGTTACGACCGGGGTAGTTTTTTTTTTTTTAAGCTACTTCTATTGGTGGGGAGTAGGTTGTAAATCGCCAAACGACTGTCATAAGGGGGATAGCTTGTACAGATTAAAAACACCAGTCCAACGGAGCCTGCACTGTTCATTTTCCTTGTCTACAAGTACTGGCCCAAATCTACAGTGCCTGTGCCCGGTAGAGGTTCAGCCCGGGGCCCGGGGGGGGGGGGGGGGGAAGGGGGAGGAAGGGCGAAGGGTACCACAATTATTTTTGATCATGGCGGCACTGTAGATTTTATGAGCATGGGGAAAAGGTAACGTTTGGTCTGTCAAAATAGGTCAGGATGGAGTGGTGGTTTAGACTACCGTCTTCACCCGAATAGAACGCCGGGTCATTATCCCTGTATCTAGACGGAAAGTTGCTTCGAATACGGCTATAATGACCAGGCGTTCTATTCGGGTGAAGACGGTAGCTAAGAGATTAGTAGTGTAAATAGCGGAAGGACTGTAAATTAGATAGCTTGTAGTAGGGACTAAACCAACTCAGAGATTATTCGATACAGAGAAGATTAGCATGGCCCCTGCGCAAGGAAAAAAAGAAAAAAAAAGAGGTCGAAGCAGTTATGATCATCCTGTAACATGATAAGATCTTACCCTCTATATTATTCGATCTTATCCTATCTTATCCAAGTGGTTAATCTATCCTAGCTTATCCTATCTTATCCAATTCTTTTTTTTTTTTTTTTTAACAACTCCATCTATTGGTGGGGAGCATCACCTGCTGGAAACCGGGTCCAGCGTCTATCTGGTTTAAATTCATCGAATCTGACCAAGGATGAGACCAACATCCAAGAAAGCCATCAAACAATAGATAAAAAGGGACAAGTTCTTTTTTTCTTTACAGATCCAATCAGCCCAGTGATCATATATGACAGGTCAAATCAGTTAATATGGCCTGATCCTACCTTGCCCTATCTCATCACACCTTATCCTATCTTATCCAGTCTTCTTCTTAGTTAAGGGGTAACTTCAGTAGAGTCACAAAAACGAGTTATAATTGCACTATGGGACAAGATACAGTTTGCAATTGCACTTCGGGCACCCAACCTGGTCAGGAAGCTGGGTTGTATACATTGCCCGAACTGCAATTCGAAACTGTATCTTGGCCCATAGTGCAATTATAACTCATTTTTGTGACTCCCGTAAGGTCGACAGACTTTGTACTGACGCATTGAGTCTTCAAACAGCAGAAAAGGACACCTTCTATAGATCCGCTCAACTCAGAGATCAGGCCTGGAGTACAATCAGTTGGGACATTACCCTATCCTATCCTATATTATTATTATCCCATCTTATCCTATCTTATCCTATCTTATCCTGTGTTTTCTAAAACAGGGGCCATGCTAATCTTCTCTGTATCGTTCCAATTTTAAACCAGAAAAGAGACTGGGGGGGGAATTGGGGGGGAGATTGGGGAAAGTGGTATGGAAGGGAGGAAAAGAGGGGCAGGAGGAGGCGCAAGTAACCAGGGATTACAGACTCCTCTTCAATGAGTGGACCAAGCTTGAAGCCTCAATCCCACAGCGACCATGTGATCAATTCCCAGACTTCTTCCCTCCCCCGGCAAACAGTTTAGTAGGCAAGGCATGGTATGAGGGAGAGTGAAGGAAAAGGTGGCAAGAGATAGGTTAGACTGCGAGGGACTATGGAAAGCAACAGGCGGTCCGAAAGAAGGGCTGAAGAGGCAGATCTAGCTATGATCACCAACAGTGATGTTCGTATGTGATACATTGTGCAGGGACGCTGGACCCGATTTCCAGCAGGTGCCGCTCCCCACCAATAGATGGAGCCGCCTTGAGAAGTAGTACTGGTGACTGCTCTTACCAGCACCACTACTACCTCCTCAGGCTGTTTTCAAAAAAAAAAAAAAAAA